TTCATATTAGTGATAATAATGAAGATCAAAATGAGATTCGGAAATGGGAATTGTTGTTGAAAAAGAAATTTTCATTGCAACAAGAAGGAAAGAAGAAGTGGTTATTGAATCGAGAATTACAATATGAACATTTCTTTCCCATCGAGTTCATGAATGACAAGCAATTTGTATTAAATCACATCAAAAAATATGGTCATGGATTACGATTTGCATTTGTAAAGCTGAAACAAGACAAAGAGTTTGTATTACAAGTGATTCAATTGAATGGACTTGAATTATCTCAATCCTTTTTTCGCAAAGACAAAGAAATGGTATTAATAGCTACGAAGAAAGATGGGCGTCCATTTGTATGTGCATCAGAGGAACTTAAAAATGACAAGAACTTTGTGTTGGAAGCCATTCGATTGAATGAAAAATGTCTATGTTATGCTTCCCAAATGTGAAATTCCACGACATGACATTTCACCACAAACATATCATAGATTAAATTTTCCACAATTCACAACAGTGTTCATTAGTCATTCCACACACAAATCCACATCAACATTTTGATCACATATAGAATCATCATTGGCCTCTCTGAATAATCATTATTGAAATACTCACCTCCATTGTGTCCAACATTTTGATATTGTCTATGCATACATAAATCACGTTGTCTCATTCTCAAATAAATCGATCCATCCTCTCCAATACTTTTAATATCCCATCCTGTGGACCAACATTTTTGAGGCCAATCAAATTCATCTTCCAATAAAAATCCAACATTGGTCATGTTATCAACATCTAAATATTCAGGAGGAACATGAAAACCACTTGATGCAGAATCACCAAACATGATGACTTGTCTTGTTGCTGTTGCATTACAATACAAACTTTCATAACTCCTTCCTGTTTTGGGTTCAGTTCCATAAATTCCATTACAATTCATGTCTCTGTTATTGAGATTGGAATCAAAAATTCCAGGCTTAATATTTGGATTCGAATCGTCACAATCCATTCCTCTCCAATCTGCATTTCTCACCAAAAAGTGATTTGAAGGGAAGAAATCTTTATCATCATCACTGACAGGAGTGACATAATCTGAAAATCCATTTTTCTTGAAAGGTGACTGATCTTTTTGCATTTCTTTTCGACGTGCCATGACAAGAGCAACCACCCACGTTTGAAGTGCATGTTTAATACGAGCTCTCTTTTCCATCATACGTTGTGGATCATTATTAAATTTTTGTAACACCATTTTTGGTAATAATTTTGAAAAATTTCTTCCATTCCACACCTTCCACCATCCATTTCCATCTTGATTGTTCATTTTCTCATTCTGTCTTGTCAATGATTCCAATTCTTGTCTCAACTTGAACATGGTATATTCGCTCTTTAATGAATTTTCCATAATTTTGGATCGAATCCTCTTTGAGTTCATGTTATTGCCAAAAGTAGTAGTAGTGGTTGAAGTGGTGGAAGAAGTACTAATCGAAGTGGCAGTAGTGTTGGTACTATTTTTCAACATACAACCATTACATTGTGCAATTTTTAAACCCACACATATTTCTGTCGCCGTATAATCCTTCAATAATAAATTCACAATCAAATCCAAACCATTTTGCATCAATAAATCACACAATAATTGATATTCCTGATAATGAGAGGGAATGACACGACACAATTTCTCAGCCAATTGATCCAAATAAGGTTCTTGTTTGTGAATTTCATTTTCGACCATGGTGAGAAGGACATTGCAGAGAGTACATGCGAAGTTGTTGTTGTTGGCGATTGTTGAGAATGTTGTTGTTGTTGGTGGTAGTTGTTGGGAATGTTGTGGAATGGAATTTGAGAAATGAATGGAAGCAGCAAGAGAGCAAATTGTCATCATCATGATGATCGCCATGCTGATCAGCACGATCCGCTGTGTCCACATGGTGCTGGTGGTGTTTGATGACGATCCCAAACGGCGACCGTTGTTGCCAACAACGAAAAGGAGTTGCATGCACATGTGGCGGTGGTGGATCGCTGACTCAGCGGGTACGTGTTGTTGTTTTTTGAATGTGAAACATCTTGAAACTTCAAGTTTTGGTCGTTTCAGCAAATCTTGTTGAAGGATTCTTTTTTGGAATTGGTAGTTCATGCCATGAATAAGAAAGAAATAGCTTTTGAATCAATGAAGTGGTTCAATTGAACGGAAATGAATTTCGAAATACTTCAAGACATGGAATTTATTTTAGAAGCAATCAAACAAAACAAGAGAGTACTTCGATGGGTACCACAGAATTTTCTCCAAGATAAAGAGTTCATGTAAAAAGTTATCAAATTACTGTACCCAGAATTTGAAATAGTCTCTTTTGATTATTCCAACAAAAAATTATGATGAAACTTGTGAAAGATTTTGGATTATTGTTACAATTCGCAATTATTAATATTTGGATCCATGGCGACGTGTGGTAGTTGTTGGGAAATCCCAATTCGATACAATCAACGTTTTGGAGATTCCATGTGGTTCAATGTTGTTGGGAAGTCCAAGTGTCACAACAAGATTTGGGAACTCCAAAGATACAACACCTTCACCACGGTTGGTGAAATGCTTTTAAAACTGCAACATTCGTCCTTGCTAAAGATCCATTCTAAAAAAAAGGCAACATCAGAAACATGACTAAGAAGAATAATTCCTATAACCGTACACGTATGTCCAATGATCAACCATTCTTTGAGAAAGCTCCAACATCTGCTTGGAGAAGAGGTGCCACCAACAGCAATTCCAAAAAGAGATCCATATATGGTAATGGCAAAACAGTCGATCAGATCGTTGGCATTGCAAATGAATCAAAAGCTTCATCTTTCTCCTCTTCCAAGAATCGTCCAGTCTCAAAGGACTCTCTTCTTCAACTCTTGGCAATTCAAGATCCCAAACAACCTGTGATGGTCAAAGGTGTTATTACAGAGATTTATCCTGAAGCATTTGCCTATGCCTTATCTGATCCAACGACCACCATACGTGTGGAAATACTTCCTGAGGAGGGTCATGAAGAATCATCCTGGGTCGATGTTGCTGAGAATCGATTGAAAGTTGGAACTCGAGTCCAATTAGTGGTCCAATGGAAAAAAAAACCCAACCTCATTGATTTTGTTTGTTTCCAATCCAACTAGGATTCTCTCAAGATCTTGCATCATCCAAAGAGTGTTTATGAAAACGATCAAGCATTGATGGATGCAAATACAAACATGGAAGACCCATCTCGATTGATCGAGGGTTGTGGTTTATTGATCTACTTGAAATCTATAGCGAGTTTTATTCTTATCAAAGGAAAATTGGCTCATCATGTGGGAACTCTTTACTATGCCTCTCGTTTTGCACAATTAAGGGAAGATATTCTTGAAGAACAAACTCGCCTGTTGCCAAAACATCTTCTCATCGAAATGATGAAAAAAATTACAAAAAAATGGAAAATTCCGTAATGGACAAGTGGATGCGAGATCAGGCTGAATGTTCCCTCACCACCTTTACCAGAGAAAGACCTTCGGAAATGATTCTCTTTAGTGTTGCTTGTACATCTCCTGTGTTTTCTCATCAAACGTTGAGTGAAACGATTATGGATCGAAAGGAAAGATATTCACCCCTTCGGGAATTCCTCAACAACCACTTAAAAGAGCTTGAGGAAGAGGTCTATTTGTCTAGATTTAATGAGAGGGTTGTTGTGGGGGAAGAGGAAACTTCAATTCAGGATTATGAAAAAGAGCTTCTCAAACCCTATTACTTAGTTAAGCGATGTAAGAAATTGTTTTGGCTGCTGTTCGACAGAATGGAAGAGCACTTGGATATGCATCGGAAGAGTTGATTTATGATAGAGAAGTCTTATTGACAGCTGTTAGACAAGATGGCAAGCTTTTTGTACCATCGTCCAAATTTATGGGACTATCCAACCACCAAACCATTCACCCAGTACGATTATGAACTCTTTAGTGATAAGTCATTCTTATTAGAAATGATTAAGGCAGGATGTCAAGAAGTTTTCAAATATGCACCGAGAGATATTATTGAGGATAGAGAATTTGTGTTAAAAGCTGCCAAACTCAATGGTCTTGCTGTTTTTGGATCATGTTTTACCTCAGACAAGGAAATCATGTTAGAAGCAGTCAGAAATAACGGATGTGCATTATATTATGCGAGTAAAGACTGAGGTAACGTTGTAGTATAAGGACTCGTTGGATAGGCCTTTCAAGAAGAAATTTGGACCAGTTTGTTTCGGGTTATAAATGTTCAAAGTATCTTCTGAGTTTGGTGGGTGATGAGGGGTTGGAAAGCGAGGGAATTTCTTGAAGATGTTGGCAGGGTTTGTTGCAGTGTTGGTGAGCTCAACTGGAGTAATGTTCAATGATGCCGGAGGTTGAAGTCCAAAAGGGTTCATGTTGGAGAACTGGTTTAAAGGGCGACTGTTCAAGTTCTTTTGAGATTGTTCATTCATTTGTAGAAAACGAGACTCCAAGCCTTGAATGTGTGAGGTGAGACCTTCAATTTGTTGAGAGTATTGGCGCGCATTGCGAGTAGGATCTTTTCCGTATTCAGATCAGAAGGTTCTGAGTTTAGTTTCCTTTGTTTAGGGCTCTCTTCATACTCGTTAGAGAATTCTTGAAGAGGGGACTGATCCTCTTCTAAATTTCTCTTCTTGTTATTCTCACCTTGAAGGCAAGAGCTTGCTTGGTTTGGCTGTGACATATATTAGACACTACTACGCTGTGTTGCTGTTGAGGTAATTTTTGAGCGATGATCTTAGCATCAATCTACCAACTCCTATCTCTCACCAAGCGCATTCTGATGTTATATACTAGTAGTGCCATGAATAAACTCATATGCTACTACTTGAAAACATAAACGACAATTAAGGTAATAACATTGGTCTTTCTCCGCACAACCTTCAGGAATCCACCATCCGGTAAAACTACCAATGTTCTGCAAGTGTTTGCTGTTCCTAAGTAGTCACTATATAATGACACTGTTTGAACTAACAAAGACACCCAGTGACAGCACTTAATTAAAAGCAACAGGTCACAGACATTAAGGTTTCTTGAGAATGAATAACTTGGCTTTCCGTATGCGTCCAACAAAGGCGAAACCATTAGATCCAATCTCAACTCTCCTCCGCAATAAATCCTTCACACTGGTACCCTTAGAACAATGAGTGAAAAACATGTCCCATGACGCCAAAAACTCTGCCCATTCAGAAGGAATCGAAATTAAGGGAAAGTAATGCCCTCTTCTGAATGCCTCCAACCACTGATTGCACAGACAGTAGTTGTAACAGCTAACGATCGTCCCACAACCTTAGTTAATTACTTTTTCCAAACTAGTCACTGGTACTGGTAGTGGTTGGCCCAATACAATTCCTAAAACTTATGAACTTACCAAAAACTATTTCCGATCTGAATTGCTCTGGAGAGGGTGGGCGGGAGGGAGAAGTTTGCCCAACAGTCTGCTTGGGAATCTTTTAATTATCAAATCCATCTTCTCGCACTTTGTGGTAAATGATGCTAATTTTTAAAGACGATTCCAATCAAATTCTTACAAAACGATCTTATTGTTGGATTCCGATTTTAAACAGACGAAAGTCGAGGCCTAACTGTCTATTAATTAATGCTCGGGACTCTACTGAACAAAGTCAATTAACAAAATATACAGAAAATCCCACAAACACCAGACCATTATTAAATCCTTAAACCAACATGAACGCAGACTTCAACACTAATAAGAATCTTTATACCAATACAGGTTGTTTTGCTCTGAGATATCCATTTCTCTTTTCCGACATTTTGAAATAGATTTGTTTGATATGTCTATTGAGTGTGAGGAAGATAAAGTATGTTTTTCCCTATTTTGAAAACGTAAACAACAATAAGAATCGGTTGGTTAATTGTAAGGAACAAGCTTTGGGTTTGAGGTCTCTCCTTACGCCCGACCTTCATAAAAAAATGTTGAAAAGAGCGCACAGCCAACATTCTCATCCTGCTCCTGAAATCAGCCATAATGAAATGGATGACAAATTGCTGAACAAGGACACTCATCTGCATGTGGGGGTGATTTTGATCGAATTTTCTGCTTGTTTGCATCACCTCCATGATGAAAATTTGGAAATTGTGGATGAGATTCGGAGATTGGAATTGAAATTGAAAAGGAAATTTTCATTGCAACAAGAAGGAAAGATGAAATGGCTATTGAATCGAGAATTGGAATACATAGAATTCTTTCCAATTGAATTCATGAATGACAAGCATTTTGTATTGAATCACACTAAAAAGTTTGGATACGGATTAAGATATGCATCACCAAAGCTGAAACAAGACAGAGAGCTTGTGCATCAGGTTGTTCAATTGAATGGGTGTGAATTACATTTTGCCAGTAATGATATTCGCAATGATAAAGAAGTGGTATTGGAAGCTATCAAAATATACGAACTTGCATTAACATTTGCTTCAAATGAACTTAAACAGGACAAAAAATTTCTGATTGAAGCCGTTCGATCGAATGAAAAATGTTTTCATTATATAACAAATAGAGTTTGCAAAGACATGGAATTTGCATTAGAAGCAATCAAACAAAATAAGACAGCACTTCAAAGTACATCTTGGGAGCTTTGCCAAAATGAAGAATTCATGTTAAAAGCTATCAAATTACTCTTTCCAGAATTCGATCGTTTAGTTTCTTTTGGTCGTGCAAACAAAGGAATCATGATGAAACTTGTTCAAGAACATGGACGTTTGTTGCGATTCAAAATTGATGGTAATGCTCTTCGATATGCCTCTCAGGATTTGCAGGATGACATACAAATTGCATTTCATGCGATCAAACAAAATGGGATGGCATTGAAATTTGTTTCGACTGCGTTGAAGAGAATCAAAGGAATTGTATTGACTGCTGTGAACCAAAATGGATTTGCACTTAATTATGCATCGAAAGAGTTGAAAAATGATCGAGAGGTGGTAATGGCAGCAGTTAGAAATGAAGATTTTGCTCTTCAATATGCTGATGAAATGATTACAAGAGATCAAGAAATTGTGATTGAATCGATCAAACAAGGCAATCTTGTTTTTGAATTTATTTCTAATGAACTTTTTGTGACAAGGAATTCTTATTGAGACTGACAAAGCTTGGATGTTGGAATATTTTCAGAAAGGGGCTCCAAAAGAAATTGTTGAAGATAGAGAATTTGTGTTAAGTGTTGCCAAACTCAATGGTCTTGCTGTTGTTGGATCCGATTACTCACCATTTCGCAATGACAGGGACATCATGTTAGAAGCAATGAAGAACAATGGATATGCGTTGAATTTTGCGAGTGATGAGTTGAAAAATGATGCTGATTTGGTGATGGAAGCTCTCAAATGCCATGGCTTTGTGTTGAAGTATAGTGATGAATTGTTGCAGCAAAGGATGGAACATTGTTATTTTGGTGCTTATTTGGGAACACCTTAAACGAATTCACAATTGAATATTTAATTGAAGATGAATCTGTGAAGTACCATCTAATGCCTTTACAATGATTCCCTATTCAAACCATATTGTTTCATTCATTCGAGTTTTTGGTCATTTCTCAAAATAGATATCATATCTGGCTTCATTAAATGTCTCCTTATTTTCTTTTTCGGTAGTTGGAATCTAAATGAGTTTGGAAAAACTTTTTGTTTCAAATATTCTTGTTTGTTCGGATGATCACACATGGATATGAATCTCCACCACTAAACACCAATAATTCTTCTCTTCTTCAAACCATGCAAACTCTTCATGGATTTAAATTTTGTTTGCTACTCTCATATTCAATATAACTAGCCACCTTTGCACAACAAGGTTCACAAAAACAACCATAAACATCCTCTAGAGAAGAAAAGATCGAGAATGAAAGCATCGTCCAATTCAACTTTTCCTTCTTCCTTTTTCTCCTCATGATGATTCTGATAATAAACTTTCTTCAAACAATTCAAAAGGTGCTTTCGACAATATGGAATGCAAGACGTACTCGTCAATGCCAAAAACAATGGAGGATAATTTGAAAGAGTTTCATAATCCTTCACTATTTGATCCAATTGTTTCTCATATTTAAATTTTTGAAAAACTATTTTCAACTTGGAAATGTCATTTTCTGTGAGATGATTTAAATTGTCTCCTTCCAAGAGGTCACTCAGATCAGGAATTTGTCTTGTAAAGGCATTGTAAAGAGAAGGCATGGTTTTGAGTGAACCTTTTTGATATATAATTTTCGAATCATAATCACTCAAAATTACATAACGATCGAGAATAGTCGAGTCATGACATTCATAAAATCTCTTTTTTTCAGAATTTTCATTCAGAGAAGCACATTTCAATAAATCTGCAAATAATTCTTTACGTTCTGTGGCACTGAACTTTTTTTCGGACAAGTTGGCATGTTCATACTTTTTAAGACATGAAGGAGTTTCGATCAATTCGTTTTCTTCAATTTCACAATATATTATGAACAACATGGTGTTTTTCATAATATTTGTCAAAAGTATTTGTCATAAGAATTATTTTCATAAATTTGTGATCAACCAGATTCATAGATCGATCCAATGCAAAACATTTTTCACAAGGATGATGATCCATTCATTATTAATGACATTTTCCACCATATGATTCCATTGAATTTAAATGAATGACCAACATTTCACTCTCAATTATTATAAACATTATTCAAAACAAAACTCACGTAAACACATGACAAGAAATAATTCCGAGACTTCATTCTGAAATTTCGTTTCTCTGTGTTCCAATCGTCTCGCATCAAACCGATCAATTTGCAACTCACGACTCTTTTTCGACATTTAATCTTGGCCGAGAGGTACATGTAAAACTTTTTCTCGCTCTCCGAATACATGTCATCGACAGCAACAAAACGATGAGATGGATTGTTGTCGGAAATGAGTTGATCAAGACGATCTCTCACACGAAGAATTTCTGTCATGTCAGGTGGTTTCATGGAAAGAGTCGGAGGTGGTGATGTGAGGACTGTCATTGGATGACATTTTTTGCAATAAATTCTTGTTTTAAAAACGACATTCATCCATTCGAAGAACAAACAACGTTTCAGAATATGTATTTGCATCGGAACCATTGAACACTATTCCACAAGTTGTATAAATTCTAAACTCCGAGCTTTCAATATTGGGAAAACGAGCGACCGAATGACGCACCGAACGTTCGGCCATAAAAATTAATTATACATTTTTTTTATTATCTTTGAAATCAATTTAAAACGAGTGAACTGTATGAGAGGTTCACAGAAATTATTCTTCATGCAATCCATCAAAACCTTGTAATATTGAACATATTAGATGTTGGCGAGTGTTCAACACGAATGAATAGCTGCAAGAAAGGAAGCCAAAACTTTTGCCGCCAAAACGTTTCGAAATTGTACCAAAAAAAATTGCCTTCTTCCGATTGGACAATTGGATCATCAAGACCCTCAAATGAATGAAAATACCTCCAGGAGTAATCATAATAACCACAATCCGAACCACACGCATGGATCTTCTTCCGAGAGAAGAGATCTTATCTCCACTTTGAAAGGCTTCTCTCAAAAAAGTATTCCCAACTCGGAACTGTATTCCAAGTCGTTACCTCAATTGAATTCGAGAGACTCTTCCATCTTGTCGAATAGCTTTTCAAACCTTTACATGCAACCTCCATCAAGTACAACAAATCTCAACACGAGTTCGGTGTCGAGATGTCATGTTTTAAACAAACAACCGATTTCCTCCGAAATACCTCTTGTACCTTTAAATGACTTGCAAGAATCCGATTTAATTAAGGTATTAACTTTCTTCTTTCCAAAAGGCACCAATTTTTCAATGAATCGATGCGGATGTGGTGTTTTGTGTCCTTTAATTTCTATTCCTGTTACTTCCCTTCAGCAAGTAGACCCTTCGATCGCTCATCGAGCCATTCAACAACGAGATAAAAATGCTTCTTCATCACATCAGCCAAAAATCATCATCCGAAGAACGCCACAACGAGAAGTTTCCATCTTTTTCGATCCGGAAGCTGCTGATAAAAACAAAACAATAATGCATCAAATTGACGAAGGATTTACAATTAAAAGAAATGAGAGAGTGGTGAACACAAACAATATTACAGCAAATTTAGTATCACTACTTGGAGCGGATGATATTTTGGGAACAACCCACAAAATGGATGCAATTTCATCCACAGAAGACACAGTCAACAATATTGCCTCGTCATCAACAGATGGACGCAAGTCATTGTCGCCAAATATTCAAATTTTACTCACAGAATATGAAAACCAATTAAAATCTCTCAGAGAGCAACTTGACCACGTGATGGCTGAAAAGCAGCTCATCCAGTCCACTTCTCATAACATTACAGAAAAAGCTGGAAAGCAATCGGAAGAAATCTCGAGGTTGCAAAACGAAAACGATTCTCAACGAGAAAAAATTAACAACCTTCGCAAAGTTGTAAGATCTTATGAATCAATGATCAACAAGAATGAAAATAATGAATCATTGCTAGAGCACAAAAATGAAGAAATTGAAAAATGTAAATCAATAATTTCTTCAAAAGATAGAGAAATTACTCGCCTTCAAGAACAAATAGTGCTGAGCAATAATTCCATTAATCAGGCGGCAGAAATTAAAAAACTTATATCCAAAAAAGAACAAGAATTATCACTCCTTAGCAAAGATATTCACAATTTGAAAATGGAACTTTCAGAGAAGGAACGATTATCACATGAAAAAGTTTCAGAGTTGCAAAATTCGATCGACATGTTAACACAACAGTTGAATGTGGAACAAGAAAAGAGCAAGAGTATGAAAATTGATTATGATTTGTTATTAAGAAGCAAAGAATCTGAATTGTTAAATTTGAGACAGCAACTTGAAATGGAACGAAGCAACCTTTCTATTCTTCACGATAAGCATCAAATGTTGGAAACAAAATTCAAGCATGAGCAAAAATTGATATCACGGCTCGAGCAAGATTATAAACATAATGAAATTGCAATGGAATCTCTCAAAAAGAAGTATGACAAGATGGTAGAGATTAAAGAGGAGTGGGAAATGAAATATAATTCAAAAATGCAAGAGTTAAAGCAATACCAAGAGAAAGTGAACGAAGAAAAAGCTCGTCTACAGAGCGAATTTGAATCTAATCTCCAGAACTATCAACAAACGAGTCAAAGAACGATCACTGATCTTACGACGCGTCTTGAACAGGTCATAAATGAGAATCGGCTTCACGTCACTGCACTGACAAGTAAGGAAGAGATGATGGTGTCATCACAAATTGATTCCCAGCAAAAGATATCAGAGTATAGGGAAACAGTTGAGCAGCTTAATCATCAATTAAGAAATGCCTCTGTAGAACTGCAACAAAAGGAAAATGAAATTTCAAAACTTCGAAAATTGATGGAGCAATTAGAAAAGGATAAACGAGCTCTTGAAGTTGTTATTTTAGAAAAAACAGATCTAATTGTAAGACACGAAATGAGCATTTCAAACTTGGAAATTGAAAAGAAAAAGTCTAGCTTTGAAATATCTGAATATTCTGCACGACTCTCAAAACTTGAACAAAAACAAAAGAGTTATTAAGTGATATTAGCCAATTACAAGATGTAAATCAATCCCTCCAAGAGAGCAATGAAGTTTTGAATCAACAATTACATTCAAAAGACGCTGATATGAAACAAATGTTTGAGTTGAAGACAAAGGAGAACGAAAGCTTGATCAACCGAGTGAAATCTGATCTGGAAAATCAATTATTGGATCTTCAACAAGAAAAGGCTACTCTTCAACAACGTTATGATAATCTCATCGAAGAAAAGGATTCTCTACAATTTAATGCCCAGCAACAATTGGAAACCATCCATCGAATTACTGAGGAGTTGAAACAATCACAAAATGAAAACAACTCTCTCAAAACAGAGCTTAACGCACTCAAAGAAACACTAGTGGCCAAGGTAAATACGCACAAAGAATTCCAAGAAAAAACGGAAAAGAAGATTGAAGAGCTTTCGAATCTAATCGTGGTCAAAACAGAGTGCGCGAATGCCCACATACTTGAGATTGACAAACTTAAAGGTGAAATTCAATCTCTGCAAGGTAAACTCAGTGAAATTCAATTACACTTTAAAAAACAGAAAGACACTATCAAGGACCTTACAGAGAGTTTGAACATGCTTAATGAAAAGTTTACAACAACTCAGCAAGAACTTCAAATCAAAAATGAAGCAATCATTCACTTGAATGCTGAAGTAGAAAAATTCAGAGACAGCGTTCATGACAAGGAGCAACAACTACAGACACTAAAGAAACACGCTCTCACCGATTTAGAAAAACAAATCATTGAAAAATCGGAAGCTCTCGATAACCAAAAGAAAATTTATGAGCAAGATATTTTCATGGTAAAATCTCACCTTTCAGAAACCAAGAAATTATTTGAAGCTAAGGTTTCTCTAATTGTAGATCTAGAAGAGAGAATTTCATCATTGAAAAATGAAACGTTGGAGAAAGATAAAGAAATTTCTCGATGGATAGGTTCTTGCGAAGATTTGAAAAAAAACTTTCGAGGAAGAAAGAAAGCAACTTTCAAGCAAGATTGCTCAACTTGAAGAAGTCATCATGTCATCAAAAGAGAAGT